ATACAAGGGGGTTTCATTGTAATAGTTTCACATGTGCATATAATGTACTTGAGCAGCCCTGCCAGTCCTTCTTGCTTTTGTTATTTTTCAAATAGAGTCTTGCTTTTTACTCCAGCCAGCCTGGATGGTGATCTTCCTATTTATACTTCCAGCCCAAATGGGATAATGGGTGTGTAACACCATGCCCTGCTTTTTATCATTTGAGATGGGGTCTTACTGTTTACCTGGCCTGGACTCAACCCATGATCTTCCTGAGTAGGTGGGATTATAGGCATACACCACCCCGCCAGCCCATAACTAACACTGAGTTTCAAAATGTATGTACTTTCCTATATATCCAGGATATAAATATGATTTTGCAGATCATGTCTAAAAATACATACCTAAATACTAGAAAAAATTTGAAGGCATCTGGAGTGTTCAGTTAGTTGGAACTGCACTTAAGTTTTATTCAGTAAGTCTGTGCTTCAATAATAAAAAAATGAAGTTTCTGGGTTTCTGGTATTTGTCTACTAAATAAATATAATAGCATATAGAAGGTATCATCAAAAGAACACATTAGAGCCATTATATAACTTTTTATATTTTTAATAGAAAACAACTTATGATAGCTAAATATACAAGGTAAATCTAATTCTTAAGAACAATTATTAGTAGGAGTAGAATTCTAGTGATAAGTGAATTGAAATAACTATGACATAAACCATCTTCAGAGGAAAACAGTAATACCAGACCCTGTTAGGTGCATAAGCAAATTTATTTTAGAATTTATATGAAAAGCATATTCAAAATGCATATGTTACTGTGGTACAGTGAGGCAGCAAGCCTTGTCTTAAAATAGTCTGCCTCTTGATATATGCCTTGGTTTGTCTCCAAAGTTGAAGACGATGAGACATTTTCTCTGTTGATAACTTCATGTGCAATTTTAACAACACATTGGAAAGATTAAAAAATCCCAATTTCCATTTTACTAATTCCCTAAATCATGTCAGTCTAACAAGAAAATATGATTACTATCTTTAAGAAAAATTGACAGAAGAGGGATAGTAACATTTTCCAACTTTTAGAACAAGTTAAATAATAAATATTCATTATAAATAAAAAGTAAATTTTAAAATGCCTTTAGATTTTAATTTAAAACTCATTCTCTTCATTAGTTATGAGAAGAATTAATAACTTGGATAGCCAAGTGGCATACACTTATTTAATAAGTTAAGAACTGTGCACAGAAGGCTGGGGCATGGCTCAGTGGCAGAGTGCCTGCCTAGCATGGGTGAGGCCTTGGGTTTGATTTCCAGCAAATTAACAAACTTCGCAGAGGTGCTGAATGCAGTCAAGCCTAATATATACATCACACAGCTTCATACAGAAAGTAGACTTACTTGCTACAGTGTTTTTAATGTTTACCTTTACTTACACTTAAAAATAACTTTTAAAACTTGCCCAATTTTCAAAAAAATGTAAATATGGAGTCACTCACATGTCCTTATTTTCAGTAGTTTCATACAATGATTCTCTCATTTAGATTAATCACATATACCAGTGCTTTTATTATAATGAGAAAAGGAAGAAAAAAAAAATGGTTTCAGAAGGAATTCATGAAGAGGTGAAAAATGAATCTTTTGACCAGAGACAATTAGTGACAGAATGCCAATATTAATCACAATCATAACACAAAGGATTATGGTAGTTTTTTTCTAAAGTACCCATACAATTGATTTTTATAACAATAAACATTTATAAATTATTGGGTACTTAGCTTTGTTATTAATATTTATGGCTTTCTGGTATTATTTTTTTCTAATCTTGCTTCAAAGTCTTCCATAAATTTCTGAAAATTCTCAAATGTCCCTAGCATCATGGATAAAACAAAAATATCAATCAATTAAGCAAGATCTATTTTCACCTATGTAATAAATAAACTGTTGAGAAGTTAACATCTTCGAATTCATATAAGATAGTCTCACTCATCCATGAAAAAATAATCATTTTGATTTTACTGTGGCCCAACCCTTAGACAAATACCTCTCTGTTTACTTGTTAGTGTAAAGAAAACTAAGTTAATTTTTGCATTCATATTTAAACTACTAAATACCTGAAAACAAAGTACCATTTATTAAAATAGAATATTCACTTAATTTATACTAAATTTAACTAAGATTTATGCAAGTTTTTCATCCTTAATTTTTTTGCATTCATATTTAAACTACTAAATACCTGAAAACAAAGTACAATTTATTAAAATAGAATAAAAGTACCATTTATTAAAATAGAATATTCACTTAATTTATACTAAATTCAACTAAGATTTATACAAGTTTTTCATCCTTAATTTTTAAATACATACATCATGATTTTTTAAAACAGTATCAGTCAGGTCTATACAAAACAGAAATATGACATCCAAGTCAGATAGTGATTTTAAAATAAGAAACTTTGAAACAGCAAGTAATGTACAATGTGTAAAACATAGATATAATTCTTATGGAAACATTAGTTCTATAATACCGAGCGATATTTACAAGCAAACATGATCCACACAGCACATGCAGATTCAGGGTAAGTAAACACTCGGACACGAACTGCCAGCCGCACTTGGTCTCCACGGCAGCAGATTATTTCTTCACAAAAAGGAGATCTATATAAAAAGAAAATTCATTCAGTTAAGAAGTGACCACGGACTTTTTCTTATTTCCAACTAACTCAGTATTTAAATATTTAAATTAGTATTTATTAGGTATTTAAATATTTTCTTTTTTTATATTAAGGTATTTAAATGTTTTTATTTAACATTTTTATTAGCATATATTAGTTGAAAGCAGTTAAATATTTTTAAGTTCTATCTCTGTTACCAATAGCTCAGTAATTTTGGTCAAGCTATTCAAACTATTTCTCTCAAAGTCAGTATGTTTAAATTCCACTAGACAAAAGCAGAGATTCTTAACTGTGTGAGATTACACCAAAATCACGGGAAAATTATCCCACACTATCCAGGACTATATTTTAGACCTAACAAATCAAAATCTGTAGCAAGGATGGTAATTCATTGTAGAAGCTCCCATGCGATTCTGTTGTCCCTCCTAACAATTACCGAGCTAACTGGTATCTAAATTCCCAAGCCCAAGACATTATGAGCCCAGCCATTACACCTTACCGAAGACATGTGGCAAATGCGCGCCTCGCATTTCTGTACACAAAATGTATTGGGAACCCTTTAAATGTGTGACCATCAGGTACAGCCCTCCTGATGGCATCTTGAAATTCTTCATTGCCTGAAGAGATACTTGTCGTACGTTCAAATTCATAAGAAGCCAAAGCAGGTGATAACAAATAGGAAAGCTGGTCTTCCCAAACGGTAGTCAGGCCAAGATCCTATAGCAATCAAAAGAGAAAAAGAAAAGGTGAGATACACTTAGCGTACTTCTCTTTATAGTCCAGGCTGCTTTAGCCTTCTGAGAACTGGGATTACAATGTGTGCCACCATACCTGGCTAGTTATTCATCATTTTAATGAATGCCAAGAAGATATTTTTAAATCTGTCCTAACTTTTTAAACTTCATATTATAATAGGGACATACAAAACTAAAAACAATAGGGGCTGCAGGTTATTCCATCTTATTTCTTATAAATAACCAAAAATCATTCAGTATAATGATGTTTATGAAGGCTTCATAGCCTATACTTTAAGCCAGGCCTGGTGGCACCAGCTACCAAGGAAACTGTTAAGTGGGAGGATCTCAGTCTGAAGCCAGCCCCAGGCAAAAACACAAAACCCCATCTGAAAAATCATGCAAAAAATGGCTAGAGTATGGCTCAAGTGGTAGAGTGCTTGCCTAGTAAGAGGGGCCCCAAGATCAAACCCCAGTACTGAAGAAACAAAAGAACCTACTAGAGCACCTGGAATGTAGCTCAGTGGTACAGTGCTTGCCTAGCAGGCATGAGACCTGAATTTAATCCTAAGCACCACAAAATAAAATAACCACTAGAGAAGACCACATGGAATATTCCTAAAATGGAAGACACAGTGTCAGTAAATTTTAAGCTTTTATTTAACTTTAAAGTGTTCAGTAAGATTGAATCTGCATAACCTCTGCAGTAGGCGCAGAAAATCAACAAATTAGTTGTATATATAATTAAACTCAAATATTTACTGAGCATTTACTCTCTAAAAGATACCCGCTTTAGTACTGTAAGAGGTAAGAAGGTAAAAACAACATGCCACAGGCCCACAGGGAACATGAAGCCCATGTCTCCAGGAGTGTTTGAGGCAATTAGGATGTAACACCAAATGAACTACTGATACACAGACACATGGAATTTAAAAATGCAGTACAAACACCAAAAACTTTTCATAAATCTGAGTATTTGATTATCACAACAGATCTCTGGGATTTCCTAATTTCTTTCTTCCTTTTTTTTTTTTTTTGCTTTACAGGGTTTTGGACTCAGGGCCTATACCTTGAGCCACTCCACCAGCCCTTTTCTGTGAAAGGTTTTTTTTGAGATTAGGTTCTCTCAAACTATTTGCCCGGGCTTGCTTTGCACCATGATCCTCCTGATCTCCGTCTCCTGAGTAGCTAGGATTACATGTGAACCACCAGTGCCCAGCACAGCATTTCCTAATTTCACATTCAAGATTTTAAGCTGGTCACAGGTATCTCAAAGGTTCACAATCAAC